ATTTTTTTTAGATCATTTAAATACAAAGCATTCTAGATGTGACCTTTGTAGCCAAATTATCTAATGTGTTGCCTAGCATTGCGATAAGTGTATTATGTCTCCGGAATGCTGGAGAACCAATATTTGTTTCGGTCTGGCGGAGCGAAGAAGTCTGATCAAGTACTTGCCTGTAAGGAACCAATCAGAAATGCCTTCGCCCCATACCCCATGAGGGAATGGGATTTCACTTTTATAAATGGAATGTTCTAAATTTCATACACACATTTATATATATTCAGTACAATATATGTAAATGTGTGTCTTTCAAATTAGTAATTTACTGTAATCTTATAAGGTATGTGTTGTGTGTTTTTGTTTGTATGCATCTGGTTTACGTTTTAAACAAATTTATCAAATGACAATTTAAAGTTCTAGTATAGGTTACTTAATAATAATAATATGTGAATTATATGAATAAGATCTGCTTCTATGATATCTCAGTAGAATTTTCGAAGTGACTTTTTCATGCCATTCCGTCATATTTTGAGTTCTGTAATATTTATATAACTTTGTCCTTCTGGTTAACTTCCTATTAAGTAAAATCGGTTTAGTATTTTGGGCGTTACAGTAAAACATACACGTGTACATGGACTGACAAAAAATAACCCTGCCTTTTTACGTACGGCAAAAGTGACTACCACAAAATCTAAAATATAAGAATAATAACTCAACAAGCTACGCAGCGGCCCTATTGAAAGGAGATATGTGATTGACTCATAACACAAGCGAAAGAATCTACCTACATAAAATTTGATTGTCATGTAGCAACCGTCGAACGTGAGAAAAACAAAAATTATGTCGTAAAAGCGCTCCGTACAGAACGTGATCGTAATAAAAATTAATATTTGTACGGCGCACGCGCACTCACGTTATTACATCAAGTGAGATTATTCGTAGTAGACACGTAGTTCGACATTCGATACGGTTTACGAAACTGATATCGTTATGTCTTTAGAAATTGATAAACATTTTTTTATAGTTGTAGTTTTGATCCGACATTTTTTTAAGATAGAAAAGGAAAGACAAGCACGGGGTTCACTTGATGCGCTGTTGGCCTATTTTGGCTTTGAATATTCGAAAATCACCAAACTAAAACCGAAACGCGATAAGACGACTTTTTCAAGCGCGGACGATGATTGGTCACAAGAACATAATTTTTAGATCCTAACACCCATTTACACAATATACACATTTTTAGACGAAGTCCAACATGTTTTAGATAAATTATAAATTGATTAGAAAAAAGTTCGACCCGGTGGGGATCGAACCCATTGTAATATTTAAAATAACTAAGATAGTAAGAATATAATTTACAAGAAATTGTTTTAATAGTTTCGCCAAATTAACAACCACGCTGGAACAGATGGCGCCGGTGTAGCAGTTTTTACTTCGTCATCAGAGACACCCTCCAGCTTTAGTCCCCTCTGACCATGACAGCAAAGCTTCCAAAACATAGGGCGGGTAAAATTATTTTAACTAATACGTTTCGCGTTTTAGACCGTACAGTGTTTTATTTCAATATGTACTATTCGTAAAGTACAGACAGTATTTGATGTTAATGTATTGTATGAGTTAAAAATCGTGTTTATTATTTGCACTTGAATATAAACTTTCTCTAAAGGTTGCTAAATCTACTTGTTTCATTATGGGTGATTAACGTCTTCTTCCTACTATAATATTAATCCCAAGATGATAAGTGCAAGGAACGGTAAAAGCAAATTATTTTTGCTCCAAGTAATGTTAATGCTAGGTTGCATAACTAATAAGTTTATTAAAACATACACTATTATGTCTTAGTGGCTTGTAATATTGTTTTTCAATTAATCTAATTAAATTGTTCTATAGAGGAAATTATAAGTTATTTTTTGTATTTTTAAGAAATAAAGGTTCCAAAAGACTTCATACTTTGATGTTGTTCAAATAAATTTATCTTCCATATTTAAATAATTTTATAAATTAAGAAAATTTAATTACGCTTAGATGTTTTGGATGCTTTTTAGGGTCGTAGTCCCTAAAAAGCATCTAAAACATCTAAGCGTAATTAACTAATTTATATCGCGTTTTAAACCGTTTTTTACTTTTTTAAACAATTATTACCTTTTGTGGTATTATTCCTTAAAAAACATGTTTATTTTAATTAAATAATTACATATATTAAAGGCAGTATATACTATGTTTTTTGTATTAATTTCTTAAACTCGTACGATACGTACTTAAGTACGATAATATAGTATTCCTAGTATCGTACCATTGTTATTGCCTAATAGGCATATGTCGTATTGGACATTACGCGTTTCTCCTCGCTAGAAAGTCAAGTTGCACGACGACTGTTAATGCAGTTTTTAACATTGTTTTTGTTCCGGTACTGACACCCTTCGGTCTACTGACCCACTTAGCACATTCTATTGACGCATTTTAGTAGCTTTAGAGTAATTATTTTCGGCCTAAAACAAAAACAACATTAATATCTGTGCCCATGTTGAATGTTAAAATGAATCAGTAATATTCAATCAGAAATTAAAAAGTATTTTTTTTCGAAATTGGAATTCTATTAAAAACGTTATTTGACCATAGATATCTGTTAACGTCCTTGTATACTCTGTGAGCAAGTAAATTGTCAAAGGTAAGGTGTCAAAACGTAACTGTCGAGTTTTATTCGCTCTCATTTTTCTAATTTTTATTGAACTATCAATTTTGTAAAAGAGACCATTACAAATGGAGACGATTACAAAATTGTATTAGATATTGAAGACAACGTTATTTGCTGTAACAATATGAACACTTTAAAAAATTTCAAATAAGTTTAACTAATATATCGCGTTTTCAACCGTTAAAGTGTTTTATTTAAATGTGTACTACTCGCGTAAACTATAGACAGTACGAAAGGGTTTTTTAGAAAACTCTAGATTTAAAAATATTGTTTCAACTCATGAACTCGACATTATCTGTTTTTAAGCGTCTGTAAACATATATATGTTTCGTTATAAAATTATGTAAAGTTATAGATGAAACTTAAAAACTGTTTTCGGCTTCTAAAATAAGTGAAAATATCTCAGCAACTACTAGTTGTAATATGTGCTTAACTATAAACAAACATTGTAAATTATCTATGGGCCTAAAAGTAGAACTCAGCTGTATAATGTCCAATTTATTTGCGTTTATGTACTAAACCTAAATAATTGTGAAAGCTAGGTCCCGTTCTGTAAATATTAACTTTGTTCAAGAAAACATTAATCCATGTTTTCTTATTTTTTTTTAAATTCCATGCTGTAGATCCCGTGTTTTATTTATTGAAAAATAAATTTAACGATTTTGAAGCTTAACAATTAGATGTATTTTAGCAATTTGCTTTTATACTAAATACTGCAATATGAATAGATTCGTACGTTTCGCGGATTGTTGTAAGACGTTGAGAGTTTAAAAATAAACTTATAATTTGAGGCACCTTCACAGTCTAAAAATGTTAATCTACAAGAGGACAGTAACCGAAAAGTGTTAATATACTTCTCACACAAATAATATAGTACAATTTGTTTTCGCCTGAGTTAATTGAGCATTTTGAAAAAATTATATTACATAGAGCAACAGCACGGAAAGCTGACAATGCCGGTTCAAGTCCTGCCCGAGTCAAAGATTTTTTAAATTTATTTTCGATTTTTAAATCATATTTTCTGTTATTAGGCCACTCTGCCTCTAGGCGCTAGAGGCCTTATTTAGTATTCTGTCTATTGAGGTATTAAAATAAATTTAACGTCGCTTATGAGGCGGACACGTTTTACCAACATGGAAAGATTTTGTCAAATGCGATTAGCGCATTCAAACAAACTTTTTAGGTTTATAGTATTGAGTATAGATTTATTGCTTACGTATTATTGTTTTTCCGATTCTCTAATTTTGTACTTCAAGTGTATATTGTCAAAACTGTATAAAAGGGCGACTAAATAAATATTTGGTATGACGATACGCAGTGTAATTTTTTTTTCTAAAGTGTCTCTAGGGACGTCGTGCGTCACCATAATATTATCATGTCGCGACGTGTCGGCTGACGATTCTAAAGTTTTTGTTTCAACGCAGGCATTGTGCAATGTGCATCCGTAGAGGTCATTAACCCGGCTTCCAACAAGTACCAAGTTTCCCACACTTCTCTATAATCGTTACTTGTAACGAATAACACTAATTGTTTATTTATTACATAAACAAATTTTTTATAGGTATGATAGTGTTTTGTTCTAGCGTTCGAAAACAAAAAAAAAACAATTTTAAGTTAAATTCTTAAAATTTAAAGCAGTCTGCGCGTTTATATAAAGCTTTACAAATGTGTTATTTTCGTACAAACACGTAACTTATTCTATGAATATGGGTAGTAAATATATTACTATACAATATTTTCATATTATATGTAATGTTTTCGCGATATAATCGGATGTTTAACAACATATGTAACTCGATTACATAGTGAAAAAGTAATTGTAATATAATGCATGACGTGTCGTTTATTTGTCTATAATATAGACAAATAAACGACACGTCATATATATTATATTGAGCTGCTTTTAGTCGAATCATTTTCCGCTAAAAGAAACATGTTGACTGTTGCTCTTTCTAATCGGATCAGTTTTTTTTGTATTACACTTATTGTCGTAATTTGAAAGTTTCGTTAAATGGAGGTAGTTTAAGTCAGCTAGAGCACTGTAAAGACTCAAATAAATGACGATTCGCATGACGATATTTAATCGAAGCAAACTGCTAGAAAATATATAATTCCTAAAATCAGGCACTCCTTATATTAGATATCACATAGCGTTGCTTAATTGTTCTACCAAAGTATTCTCTACAAATTTATATGCGGACAAGATTGTCGGGTCAGCGAATTCTAAGGGTATCTTTCCTTGATTTCAGAGCAATGTCTCGCTGGAAGGGTAAAGTGAGGTAGGCTGCAGATGGCAGCTGTCAGTGCGGCAATGTTTCGGCCCGGGGGCGCATTAGACCCCCAATGCTACGCGTCCCAAAGGGTAAGTAGCTCCGAACTTTTGACATAGATGGCGCTGATCTCAATTCTTAAATTGATGCAATTATTGCGATGCTATTTTTTTTTTAAATAATTTAGTAACGCAAAGTACCTTGCTATAACAGGTAAAAATTAATATGTTTATATGTTATTAACACTTTATCTATTAAACAGACAATAAATATAATTTAAATGAAACTATTTATTGCTATTTTAGTAAAGTAATTCGATTTTTTATGTCCATTACTGGCACAAACTTGGTGATAAAAACAATTTTTATACTTACTTAATACAACTTTCTTTTTTTCCTAAATGTGGAAAATCCAACATTAATTTAAACAAATCCAATTCGTTATCCTAGCACAAAACTCACTTACTATCTATATGCATCCAGTAAATACAATACAAAACCACATACACTATTAATTATTCGAATATTATTGTTGGCGATGTAATAATTATGCAAGGGCACGTGCATGTAATCGCATGTGGCATGACCCTGGTCGGACCCTGATCAACCATCAAATTAATGGATTACAAGTAGTACTCGAAAATCTTAAAACAATTGATGTAGAAAGATTTCTTTCCTTCATGATATGTCATTGCAATCTTATCAAACCTATATATAAATCTGAAGAGTGTTTGTTTGAACGCGCTAATCTCAAAAACTACTGATTCGATTGTGTTGGTTAGCCGTTAGAGCATTTATCGAGGAAGGCTTTGGGCTATAAAAATCACAATGAGGCCAATAGGAGCGAAGATACAGTGGGAAATGTGAAAGAAACGCGGAAATTTATTCATCTTTTAGGGTCTTCGTTGCGTGCGCTGTGAAAATGGTCCAAGATGATAATAAAATATACTTTATTCTCTTTAAAATTTTAAAAATAATTATATTTGTTAAAAATATTTTGTTTGTCTGTCCGTTCGACGTGATTCTACAGAGTGTTCAAAAGAGCAACATAATTGAGAAGAACACCCAAGAAACTCAGTCCTAAAATTCCTCTGTAAACTATCTTTAAAAATGTTCGCGACAGTAGATGTCTACCTTTTAAAATTAAGCAAAAATATCTACTTAGTAACTTGAACTAGTAGTTCCTTAGATTAGCGCGTTCAAACAAACAAACAAAATCATCAGCTTCATATATTTGTATTGATAGTTTGTATGTACTTCAAGCAACTTGCAAACATTACTTATACGTCAGTATCCAGTGGCCACGAATAAATTCAGAAGTTTATTTCAGTTACTGACGAACGAAGTTGTTTTTAGTTACTAGAAAGTTGTGAAACATAGATAACATACAAATATAGTCGAAAGACATATCTCATACGATCACAATATCAAATGAGAAACTAGATATGGAATAACGTGGGAAAATGCATTTGTTCAGTATGAAAGTAACTGCTAAATACAAGAAAAGTGAAAATTCACTTGCGTTACAAGTTCGCAATTACTGCCAAAGATATCGCTTCTTGCAATTACGTGATGAAACTGAAGCAAAAAGACTAAACATAACTGCCAACACATTATTAAAACACAGAGTTTAAACCGTTTATAATTAGTGTTTGCTTAAAAAAGATTTTTGATATATAATACATATTTTGCAATAGTAAACTATTTAAATAAAACACTTTAACGGTTTAAAACGCGACACATTAGTTAAACTTATTTGGAAATGATTTTGAGGACCACGGCTGCTGCAAAGCATCCGAAACGTCGGGCCGAAGGTAAAAATCATTTCCAAATAAGTTTAACTAATATATCGCGTTTTAAACCGTTAAAGTGTTTTATTTAAATGTGTACTACTCGCGTAAACTATAGACAGTATTTAGTAAATCTATGCTAATATTAAAGCTGCAGAGTTTTTTTGTTTGTTTGAACGCGTTAATTTCAGGAACTACAGGTTCGAATTGAAAAATTCTTTTTGTTTTGGTTAGAGCATTTATCGAGGAAGGCTATAGAGTATAGACTATAAAACATCGCCCTGTAACGAATACAAGCGAAGATACTGTGGGAAATGTGAAGAAAAATTATTATAGGTTTCCGAGGTGTACGCTGCAAAAACGGTTAAAGATACCCAAAACTATGTATGAGAGAATAATTTCTCTTTAAATTATTTAAAAAAAATCCGCCACGGAATATGTCTATCTTTTAAGATTATCGTGCAAGAACAACGGGAAGGGACGCGACGGACATCGCTGGTAACAGCCTAAGTTTATAAAGATAAAGGCGTTTGGAAAAACGAATTTGTATACCCAAGATAAATATCAAAATTAGCGGCCGAAGTCGCAGCAACAGATAGTATAAAATATTATTTTGCTGAATTCCTCTTAATGCAGATTTTAGGTATATTATTGTACATTAATATATTTGTGTAATTTTAGTATTTAAAGCATTTTAACTTTCTACTATTTATGTGAGAGTAAATTAATACATTTTTTCGTTGTAGCTCACTACATGAAAGCGCTAAGTAGAAAAAATAGGGAGGTTGACTACTATTCAGTTGATTTGAAAAAGTGTTTTAAATTATAATTTTGGTCTTAACCTTTAATAAAAAAGAAATACAAAAGATAAACATTTAAAAAACCCCAAAAATTAAATTTTTATTGCCCAGAAATATTGGATTTTCGTAAAATGCTTTGCCGTGGCCACTCAAATAATTTATAAATGAGTTAACGAATACCTTTTGCGTTTTAAACCGTTAAAAATGTTTCAATGTAATACACATTTGTACTACTCGCCACAGATAACTTAACATTATAAAGCACTTTGATTCTCTATTTAACTACTGTCCATCCTTTTACCACATAGATTAGCGCGTTGTGTGTTCAACTCGAAATGTATTTTGCATTACCACTACATAATTTTAGTATAATTTGAACGCGTATTAGCATCATGCGATTTTAATGAGAAACATGTAAATAATATCCTAACGAGCTACCTCGGTCGGGGTTCTTAACGCCATTACGCACTGTCGACCAGTCGCCGGCGACTCGGTCTCTCGGCGACTAATTTTGGGTTCGCCACTACGTGGTGAGTCGCCGAGTTGCCTGCGTAAGCGCCCATTTAAACCATAGTAAGTTACTACTCGTGCGCAATTAGTTGGGACGTTGGCGTGTTTGTATCGCCCGCAAAAAAAAGTGATGGCCAACGGGCGCCATCGGGTAAGTACAGAGGCAGCGGGCGGGGAGTCGCATTCCTAGCAGGTCCTAATTTATCGCACACGAGTTGTACAGTTGCCGGACTCCGGAGACTCAGTCGCCGGCGAGCAGTCGACAGTGCGTAATGGCGCTAAATGTATTCCAGTGATTTCCATTTCAACGAAGGATTACAACTTTCGGTATCTATAATATCATAAAACTGTATGCAAATGGCATTCCTGGTGGAAAGTGAATACGCCTGCGCAATGAATGCGTAATGGTGAAGGCTGGTGGAAAGCCACGTTGTGCTATCGAAGTACTTTAGTTTCCTTATACCCTTGCTGTGTACGGGCAGACATATTTTTCACATATACCCGCTTGTCAACTATATTTAAACAAAACACTTAACGGTTTAAAACGCGAAAAATCTGGGTATTAAACGGTGGTTGAAATATCGAAATTCCGTTTGGTTCACGAACCACCATGTATCCTGGAGTAATCAGTATTGACGATATAATTTTCCGTTCTGCTTTCCCAAACTTTTATAACAAGGATAGCAATTTGCAACAATCGTGAACTATACGACCTCATTACATTATTGCATTATTCGTGATGTCAAGATTAGGTTTTCAGTGCGCCAACAATAGGAATTTATTTGTACTATCGAAAGGGAGGTCACTCCGTATTTGATTGTGTTTTTAATAGATTGAAAATGAGAATGTATATGTTACAGTCATAGTGATGAGATAATTATCATACACTTGCTGTGGCAGCGACTTTGTCCGCGTAGAATAGTTATTTTGGACATCCAAATTTGTTTTTGCGAACCTCCTTGAATATGAAATTCATAAGTTTTAGCTAAAAGATAATTATATAGTGGAAACTCGGAACATCGGAAACACATAAGGATGAATAATTTTCCCCGTTTTTCCACTTTCCCGCAGCGTTATGGCTCCTATTAGTCACAACATGATGTTATAACTTATAACCTTCCTAAATCTGAGCAACACAAAAATTATTTTTCACTTCGAACCAGTACTTACCTAAGATTAGCGCGTTCAAACAAACTCTCCAGCTTTATAAAATAGTGTAGATAATGTATGGTTACTATGTATAATGCCAAAATAGATTTAATAACTAATTAACTTTACCCGGGTATAATTCATAATACTTGTAACTTGTCAAAGTTAACCAAAGTAAATACGACATATTATGTTACTTTGGCTGTAACATATAGTTATACGTAAATATACTAGAGAGATAGAATATGTGCAAAAAGAGCGGAGCGTCAATAATGCGCGTCCTGCTTATGGCATTATAAAAATACGGATAGCGTAAAATTATCTCTATCCTATAAAATTTATAAGTAAATTCATAGATAAAATATCTTTAAAAATACATTCGTCTATTTACTGTTTAAAGCAAATTTATTATTGTAGAAACTCTTATAATATTACAAAAATAATTGTACCAAGTTTTAATCTCAGTATCAGGCGAGGAGCTTTAAAAGATACGAGATTCTTCTTAAGAAGTTTTCAGTTCAAAAGAACTTACAGCTGCATATTTATTTTTATTAAATTCACGTTTTACTTAAATAAACATAGTGTTAAAACGTTTTATACCAGAGTTTTAAATACACAAGACTTTGAAATTACGAATTTTAATTGTTCTTACTAGAATATCAGAAAGTGTCATAAAACTTCATGTCAATTGTCAGGAGACAGAATTATGACAATTGCTATTGTCAGTGTCAAATAAGTACTGAGTTATTATAATTCGGAAATACATAGTTGAATTAATATAAAAATTATTTTGCATTACCATTCACTTAGTATATTTAATGGCTCATAGAACTGAACATTAAAG